AATGGAAATTGCGTTTGCCAAACATTCTGAATCGAAGAACAAGCGAAGCCAGCCCATTGAGTGTGGTTTTTGTCAAAGGAAATTGCGTTTCACACAATCCCGAATTATGGGAAACGCAGCGCCAGCTCATCGAGCGTTGCTTGTCAAGGAAAATTGCGTTCCCATAGTTCGCAATTAAGGGAAATGCAAAGCCAACACATCTAGTGCGGCTTTTCAAGGGAGATTGCGTTTCCCACGATTATTTCTGAATTGCGGGTAACGCAAAGCCAGCCCACCGAGTGCGGTGTGTCAATGGATAATGCGTTTCCCTTAATTCGTCACTGTGAGAAACTCAATTCCAGCCCGTTGGGTGTTGCGTTTCAAGAGAAGTTGCGGCCCCCATAAATCGAAATTCTGCGAAGCGCAATTCCAGCCCATGGGGTGCGGTGTTTCATGGGAAATTGCGTTTCCTATAAATCGGAATTCGAATTCTGTGAAACACCGTTTCCCGGAATTCTGAACTCGACTTATGCGAGGCGCACTTCTGGCCAATTGGGTGCGGTTTGTCAAAGGAAATTGCGTTTCCCATATTTTGGAATTCGAACTATGGGAAACCGCGTTTCCGGCCATTCAGCATTCGAACTATGGGGGGCGCAAGTTCAGTAATTTAGATGCGGTTTTTCAATGGAAATTGCGTGCCCCATAATTCGGAATCACGGGAAACTTAATTCCAGCCCATCGAGCGTTGTCTTTCAAGGGAAATTGCGTTTCCCATAATTCGGAAATTGAATTCTGGGAGACAGCGTTCCCCGACATTCAGAATTCGAATTATGGGAAACGCACTCCCGGTCCATTGAGTGCGGCTGTTCATGGAGACTTGCGATTCACACAATTCGGAATTATGGGAAACAGAATTCCAGCCCACTGAGTGCTGTTAGTTTCAAGGAAAATTGCGTTCCCCATGAATAGGAATTCGAATTATTGGAAACTGCGTCGCCCGAGATGTTGAGATAATTATGAGAGCGCAATTCCAGCTTATCGAGCGTTGTCTTTCAAGGGACTATGTTTGTTGTTTGTCACATAATTGTGAACCGTTTCCCATAGTGAGTTCTGGGAAACAGCGTTCCCCGACATTCAGAATTCGAATTATGGGAAATGCACTTCCAGCCCATTGAGTGCGGCTGTTCATGGAGACTTGCGTTTCACATAATTCGGAACTATGGGAAACACAATTCCAGCCCATTGAGTGCTGTTAGTTTCAAGGGAAATTGCGTCCCCCATGAATCGGAATTTGAAGTATGGAAAACTGCGTCACCCGAGATGTTGAAATATACTTATGAGAACGCAAGCCCAGCCCATTGAGTGTTGTCTTTCAAGGGAATATGTTTTTTTTGTCACATAATTCTGAATCGTTTCCCATAGTGAATTCTGCGAAACAGCGTTTCCCGACATTCTGAATTCGAATTCTGGGACATGCAATTCCAGCCCACCGAGTGCTGTTTTTCAAAGGAACTTGTATTTCCCATAATTCAGAATTATGGTAAACGCAAGTCCAGCCCATTCAGTGTGATTTGTCATTGGAAATTGCGTGCCCCTTAAATCGGAATTCGAATTATGAGAAACAGCGTTTCCAGAAATTCTGAATTCGGAATTATAGGGAATTATAGGAAACGCAATTCCAGCACACCGGGTTCGTTTTGTCAAAACAAATTGCGTTTCCAACACTTTGGAATTATGGAATACGCAATTCCAGCCCATCGAGTGCGGTTCTTTCTTGGGGAATTGCGTCCCCCATGATTCATAATTATGGGAAGCGCAAGTCCAAACCACCGGATGCGGTTGTTCAAAGGAAAATGTGTGTCCAATAATTCGGAATTTCAATTCTGGGAAACAGCGCATCCCGAAATCCGGAATTCGATGTATGAGAAACGCAATTCCAGCCCATTGAATGCGGTGTTTCAATGGAAGTCGCGTTTCCCATAATTCGGAATCGTGGGATGCGCAATTCCAGCCCATCGAGTGCGGTTTTTCAATGGAAATTGCGTTTCCCATAATTTTAAATTCAAATGCAGGAAAACCGCATTTCCCGAAATTCGGAGTTCGAGTTATGGGAAACGCAGTTCCAGTCCACCGAGTGTTGTTTTGTCCAAAGGAAAATGCGTTTCACATAATTCGGAGCGGTGGGAAACGCAGTTCCAGCCCATAGCGCGCGGCTTTTCGAGGGAATTTACGTTTCCCATAATTCGGAAATTGAATTCTGAGAAGCAGCGTTTGCCGAAATTCGGAATACGGATTATGGGAAACGCAATTCCAGCCCATCGAGTGGAGTTTTTCAAGGGAAATCGTGTTTCCCATAATTCGGAATTCGAATTATGGAAAGCCACGTTTCCCGAAATTTTGAATTCGAATTATGGGACAAGCAATTCCAGCCCATCGAGTGCGGTTGTGCCACAGGATATTGCGTGCCCATTAGGTGCGGTTTTCCTTTCCAGGGAACTTGTGTTTCCCATGATTAGGAGTTCGAAGTATGGGAAACCGCGTTTCGAATTATGGGTGACGTAGTTCCATACCATTGAGTGAGGTTTTTCAGCGGCAAATGCGTTTCACAGAATTATTGGAAACGTAATTCCAGCCCACTGAGTGCGGTTGTGTCACGGGAAACTGCATTCCCCATATTTCGGAATTCGAATTCTGTCAAGCCGCGTTTCCCGAATTTCGAAATTCGAGTTATGGAAACGCGATCTCAACCCTCGAGTGGTGTTTTTCAGAGGAAATTGCGTCACCCAGAATTCGGAATTAGGGGAAACGCACTTCCAGTCCATTGAGTGCGGTGCTTCAAGGGAAATCGCGTTTCCCATACTTCGGAATCGAATTCTAGGAAACCGCGTTTCCCGAAATTCGGAGTTCGAATTATGGGAAACGCACCTCCAGCCCATTGAGTGCGGTGGTTCAAGGGAAATTACGTTTCCCACAATTCGGAATTATGGGAAACGCAATTCCAGCCCATTAAGTGCATCTTTTCCATGGAAGTTGTGTTTCACATAACTCGGAATTCGAATTCTGTGAAATTTTGGGAAACCGCGTTTCCCGAAATTCGAATTCGGATGATGAAACAACGCAATTTCAGCCCATCGAATTCGGTTTGTCAAAGGAAATCGCGCTTCCCATAATCGGAGTTCGAATTATGGGAAACGCGTTTCCCGCGCAATGTGTCCTTGTGGCAGTCGTCCGGGGTTGCGGTTCCCATAATACGCCCTTCTCGAATTCTTGAATCATGGAAAACGCAAGCCTGGACGGCAGCCCTCCCTATAGGGTCAGCATGTCATAGTGGTCCGAGCAGGTCATCGGGATTTTGTAATTGTCGTCACTTTCGGGCTCCTTAAGCCTGAGTCCTGAGGAAGTCTCAGGCGGGAGCCTCGTGTGTGAACGGCGAGGAAGTCTCAAGCGGGAGCCCCCCTCTCTATGGGGTCTGCATTTTAAGTTGGTAATCCGATAGGACCATCGGGATCTTGCAATCACTTTTGGGCTCCTCAAGCCTGAATCTTGTGGAAGTCTCAGGCGGGAGCCTCGTCTGTGAGTGTATAGCGGGGAAGTATCAGGCCGCAGCCTCCCTCCCTATGGGGTCCGCACTTCACGTTGGTTATCCGATCGGGTCCTCGGCAAACTCTATTAGGCAAAGCACTTGAGCACCCCAAAGGGGCACATCACGAGGCGTTCCTCACGTGTCTGTGAATGAGTTGCAAGGAAGTATCGGGTGGGCACCCCTTGCCCAGTCACAACGCGCTCGAAGAGTTCGACAAGAGAGCGGTGGACTCCAGGGCTGAGGCGGAGCAGCTCGCGGAAGAGCTGAACTTCGTGCTGCCTCGCGCATGAGCGCGGCCGCGACTACCTCGGCGCCTGCGGGGTTGTCCAAACGGCTTACTCTCGCGCCCCAGCGGCTCGCGGGGTTGTCCCAACGGCCGCTGCCCCGACGGCTCCACGATTTTGCCATCGGAAGACGCGCCCCTGCTGGGCGCGGCGGCGACGGCGCCGAGGAAAATCGGCATGCGCCCTCCTGCCAGGGGCCAGTTGCCAGGAGGAAGGAGAGGTGCGCGAGGAAAACAGGCGGGCTGGAGATGAGAGGGGGGGGGGGAGAAGGAGGAGGAGGAGGAGGAGGTGAAGAAGGAGGAGGAGGTGGAGGAGGAGGAGGAAAAGGACGAAGAGGGAGAGGAAACATAGAAAAAAGAGGGTTAGCACGAGGAGGGGGAGACGGAGGACGAGGAAGACAAGGATGATGAGGAGGAGGCGCAACACAGGGCGATACGGGGGCTTCGGCCAGGGCGAAATTGAAAAAAACGAAGGTCAATCTTTATACCACCTTCTATGCGGGATCCGACCGTCGGAATAATTTGCCGCTCCGTCCTTTACCTCAAGGGGGGGGGGCTTCCAAGCTCCTCCCTCCTTTAGCTTAAAAAAGGGGGGGGACGGTTGGGGTGCTTCCGTAGGGGGGGGGGGTCAAAAGGTGGGGGTAGCCAAACCCTCCTTTTGAAAGGGAGGGGGTCGCTTCCGGAATGCGACAGGGGCAGGGGGGAGTTTCCGAGGGGCGGGGAGAAAATAAGAGATGGGGGGCTTCTGGCAGGGGGGTCTCGATGGGGGGGTACCTAAGCCACCCCTTCCTGTCTGGACACGCAGGGGGAGTAGCTTCCGGAACGGGAAAGGGAGGAGGGGATAGTTTCCAGTCGGCGGAAAAAGAGGACGGGGGGGGCTTCCTTCCCGCAGGGCAAGTCCAGGGGGGGGGCAGCAAACGGGGGACCCTCACTTTGGGAGTGCGCCACGGGCGCGCTCAGTCGTTATTATTTTCCCCGCGTGATGGCTGGGCGAACGGCTATGGCTTGCGAGTGTATAAGTATCCTCCGCCTTATCATCCTCCGCGTTTCCCATTTACCCCATATCCTACTCCCCCATCGAGCTCCTCCTCCCCCATCATTGTTTTGGTATTATCCTGTTCCCTCCTTCCCCCTTCCTCCTGGCTGGTGGCTCAGGTCTGGACCCGCTGGTGCCGGTAGAGGACATCCCGCCCGACTTGTACTGGTGCCCAGGCCCTTACAGCGGGACAGCTTGGAACTTTCAGCAGGACTCGGCGGTTCCAAGTTTCCTTCCGTAGTCCTTTTAGCTCTCGTCTCGTCACCGTCCTCCTCATCTCGTCAGTCGCCCTCCTTCCCTTCCTCCCTCCCTCCCCCTTCGTGTTGCTTCTCCCCCTCTCCATCCCTTTTTTCTTATAGTCACCTCTTCCCTGTCGCACTCCTAGACATGCCTGTAGGGCGGGCCGGGCGTTTCGCCCGACCCTTCTTCACCATTAGTAAGTCCTTGAGCTCGACATGCGCAACAGCTTCGCAGATGGAGTGCGCGTCGTTTTCAAAATGTGGCTCTCGCCTCAGCGCCGCGCACACTATTTGTGTAAAGTGGTAACGTACTCAAGGATGGAAGTCGGGTCGTTTTCAAATTGTCTCTCTCGCCTTAGCGCCAAGCAAGCTCGTCTGAAAAGTTTGCAGCGTTTTCGAGGAAATCGCGGCTCTTTTTCAACATGTGGCTCTCGCTTGAGCGCCGCGCACATTCGTTTAGCGGGTTCGCACGGTCGAAGTCCCAAGAACAGCGTTCTGGCCGGATTTCGGAGTTTCAGGATGCAAAAGTCACGTTGGTTCGTGGAGCCGAAATCCCAGGAATGGTGTTCTGGCACGGTCCAAGGATGTCACGACGCAACGGTCAAGTTGATTCGCGACGCTGAAACACCAGGAATTTGATGCTGGCACGATTGAGTATTCTCAGGCGGAACTTAGAGGGAGGGTTGATCCAAGAGGCCTACGCCTTTCCGCCGACCCCGAGCAGAGGTCAGAAGTTCACGGTTGTGGTGGTGGTGAGGTTTCTTAGGATTGTTACGGGCGCGTTTTTCTAGGTCTTGGGAGGTTTCTCTAGCACATGCTGGCGGTTTGGGGATAAAACGGGGCGAAGGGCGCGACATGTTAGTTGGAGTTACGTGTCATTGGTTTTTCTCGCGCCTTCATGGGGCTCTCTTGGGCTCTCTTCTGCGCCTCTTGCGGAAGGCTGGAAATGTCAGCTGAAGTTGCCCCTCTTTGGCCTTGCGGCCTGGTTGGGGTCGTCTTGGCCCGTCATGTGGCCCTTTTGGCCCATTCTGGGGCTTCTCGGGGGTCTCTTGGGCCGTCTTGGAGCAGTTCTGGACATTTTTAGAGCCGTTTTGCACGCTGCGTAGACAAAAGAAGCCATCATGCTGAACGGATACGTCTTCTCAAGAGGAAATTGAAGATGTTTACTTCGTGGGAGAGTTTATTGCAACATCCTTGATGCGTCTTGGGTTTACACGGGTCCTCCTGCTCCTCCTTTTCCTCCATTATTCGTCCTTGCCCCTTTTATTTGTCATTATCGTCGTCCCCTTGCTCCTCCTCTTCTTTCCTTTTCTCCTTCTCCTGCCTCCTTTCCCCTCCTCGTTGTACCTTCCCGTCTTCACCAGAGGGGGAGAGGGAGAGCGGGAAGACGGCGGAGGCCGCCTACGCACACTGGCAAAAACCCAGCGTCCAAAGACCTCCCCGAATAGAACCCTCGACACCTGGCTCCTCCTCCTCTTCCTCCTCCTCCTCCTCCTCCTCCTCCTCAACCCCTAATCCCTCCTCCCTCCTCCCCCATCCCTCCTTCCTCCTCTTCCGTCCTCCCTCCTCCCTCCTCCCTCCCTCCCTCCCTCCCTCCCTCCCTCCCTCCCTCCCTCCCTCCTCCTCCTCCTCCTCCTCCTCCTCCTCCTCCTCCTCCTCCTCCTCCTCCTCCTCCTCCTCCTCCTCCTCCTCCTCCTCTTTCTCTTCCTCCTCCTCCTCCTCCTCCTCCTCCTCTTCCTCCTGCCGTAGCCACTTTGGCTCAAGTCGGCGCCTGAGGGGCACCGGGTCTGCCGCGCCGCGGCTTGCGCAGCCGATCTTGGTGGCTAAGCAGAGCGAATTCGGGCATTCATGCAGGGAGTCTTTCTGTGGTGTTGCCGCATGCTGTCTGTTATCCTCGGGCTTTTCGAGTGCACCGAGCAGCAGCGTGAGCGTGGTCGTTACCAGCAGCACGACTTCCAACAGTGCCTTCCGGAGCAGCGCGACATCCGCACCAGGCATCTTCAGCTTCAAAGCGTGTATCTCCCAGTGCCGCTTGGGGAGGGTCTGGCAGTTCCTGGAGGTGCGCTGCAATTGTTTTTGCTGTATCACCTGTCGTCATCAGCTTTATTGCGTGTATCTCCCAATCCCGCCAGGGGAGGGTATGACAATGTTTCTGGTGGCGCGGTGCTATTGCTTCTGCTATCTGGTGATGTCGCAAGTTGGCTCTTGGGCATTTTGTGGAATTGTCTTTGTTCACAATGTTGGCGGGAAGTCGCTCTCAATACGCCTTCTTGTCGGAATGGGAGCGGCTTTCTCACACCACGCGGTCCCATCGGGCATTGTCAACTATCATGCTGGAGTGGACTAGCGTGGTTGATTGTGCTTGTGCCGAATGGTCATTTTTCCCCGCTCACCGTGCAGAGTGTCACGGAGAGGTTTTTTTACAGGCTGGTGTTAGTCGGTTTGTTGTCGTGGGGAGTTCCATCAGTGTTCACTCACGTGTGTTACAGGTGGTGCAACCGTGCTGAGGGACATGATCTATATGGCCAAGGGAGGCAATGGGCGAGGCAGTTCTGGAGGTAGCGAGCTCGGCATCATAAAGTCTTGCAGTTGAGGTTCTCTGCGAGTTATGCCAGGCTTGCCCGTTGACCACGTATAGGGGCCGTATCGAGCTTAATCCTACCTGTTTAGTCGCTGTCAACTTGTGGGCTGTATTTGAGATATGGAGAAGGTCTCGGTTTCCTTTTCTGCAGCTACTGGGTCATCAGGTCCGCCTTCGCTTTCAATCTGTTCCTCGTCTTCCTTGAGGAGTTCAGGGGGCGGCATTGTATTGTGACGCTTCGCGTCCGTTCCGATTCCGATTCCTCTTCTTCCTCCTCCGTAGGCATTTTCGCGCAAGTGCCTTGACAGTTGGGCGCGCGGCGGCGCTTGCGTGCCTGCACTGGCAGACCTCGAGGGGCAGCCCGAGGCAGCCGCGGCGCCGGCTGAAGCGCTGGCTGCCGAGCCAGCGGGTGCGCCAGCTGTTGTTGGGCCGCTGGTGCCAGAGGAGCCGCCCGCCGCGGGCCGCGCCGCGCTGTCCTGGGCCGAGAAGGCCGCGGCAGCGCGTCCCGCGGTGCCAGCCGAGAGCGCGGCCACGGCGCGGTGCGCGGACGCGCCTGCCTGGCGGCCCAGGGCCGAGGAGCGGTCGGACGTGCTGGAGGCAGTCGGGAGTGGCTGGGAAGACCTCTCTGGGAAGCCGGTTTGGCACGCACCGCCACCGCGGGCGCCTGCCAGTGCCCTGGCGTACGGCTGCGGGCCAGACTCGCCACAGGAGACGGCCGGCGGGGCGCCGGGCTCGTCGGCAGGCAGCGAGGCGGCGGCAAGGCTGGCGAAAAGCGTGGTGGATCTCCTGGCGCTGTTTGTTTTCCACGCGCTGAGGTCCTTGAGGAAGACCAGCTTCGCTTCGTTCGGGTACTCCCTGGGTGAGGTTCTCGGGAAGCGTGTTCGTTGACGGATCGGCCTTCCACCCGCACCTGCAGGGATTCAGGCGCGCTGGATGGTCTGCTATTCAGATCGACCGCGCAGGCAACCTCATCGGCGCCATGTACGGTGCAGTGCCACTTCATGTGGCCCCAGGACAGGCGGCTCGGGACGGGGAGGACTGGGTTTTCAGGATGCTCTCTTCGTTGAGCGACTGGTCAGAAGACCACCCGTTAGTTGTATACGCCGATTGTTCTGGCACCTTCGCCTGTGCTTGGGATGTTAGCGTTGCCCTTGGCGTTGGCAACCCTAGGAGGAACATGTGGCAGGATTGATGCCACGGCATAGGCAAGCCAGCTTATGTTCACAAGAGTATAGCTTCTGCCAACAAAGACCACGTTGAATGGTTAATTAAACGCGATGCTATGGCCGATAAAGTGGACCAAGAAAGGTGCCAGGCATTGGAAGGTTTTACAGGATCACCTTGATTTTGCTTCAGGCTGTGAGCACATCGCCACTGACATGGTCAGGTGGCAAAGTAGATGTCAGGGAGTCTTTGGGGAGCTGGAGCAACCATATTCTCAGGAGCTCGCTGGCACGGGGAAGGTCGTTTTAGCCTCATTCGAACCTGTCTGGAGGAAGGGGTAGTTGGGGATTGGTCCTTGGTCGAGGGGGCTGAGCGTGTCCCTCCTGCTCCTCCTCCTCCTCCTCCTCCTCCTCCTCCTCCTCCTGCTCTTAGCCCCAGGCCGTCCACAGACGTTGACGAGTCTTTTGTTTCGGCTTCGGGAGTCCCCATGGGAGCGACGGGGGCTCTCGACAGCGCAAGCTTACTCGTTGCGACGCGTTGCGCTGTAAAGTTTGCTGGGCCTCGGTGCATACATCTGCGAGGGGCCTCAAGGGTTCGAAGCACCAGCGGCTGAAAACCCAGCGCTCCAAGATACGTCGAGGATTGGTCTCCTGGCCTCACGCACGCCCAAGCGAAAGTAGGAATGGCCTTCGGACCGTCCCGGACTGTGCGAGCTGTTTGGGGTCCTCTGCTCTAGTCTGTGCCGTCGTCTGCTGCTGTTTTGTGCTGTGGGCCCCAGCAGCGGTTCTGTAGGGGGGGCTGGGTTCGGCCGAGGACAGTGTAACGACAGTGCGGCCAATGGCGGGGGAGCAACGTCAACAGGTTTGCTCTTGCTTGCTGCGCCTTCTCGGGCTGGAAGCTACGGCTGTGGCCAGATTGCATGGTTTTGCCCCCTTGATGAACTCGTCCAGTGGGCAAGAGCCTGCTGGGCGACTCGATGGAGGTGTCCGAGCTCGGTGACATCGACTGAGCTCTAGTTTTGCGCCGTATGACCGAGGGGCACCCTGCTGCGCCCGCATTGTCAGCACCACTCTCCTCGTCCTCGTCCTCCTGCCCACTGCCGACAAGCACCACGACCACGACCACGGCCAGCACGACGGCGCCATGACCGCTACCACTGCCATTACCACCGCCGACCCGACCGCCCCCGTTCCCGGCCGCCCCTCTCCTTTACTCTCCCTGCCCCCG